TATGTGGGTGTGTAACAGGAGAGTGTTAAAGAATGGTTTGATACTCAGCTTCAGCTCATGTCTTGTACCAAGTGCAGTTTTTGCCTGAAGCAAATTAAACTCATATCTTAGAGATATACTACTAGAAAGAATCTTGGAAAGAACAACCTGTACCATTAGTAGAAGCATAACAAAATGCAAGGGCTGAAAACTCCTGTTATAAAAATGCAATTCAGGAACATGGCATGGATTTTTAACAGTGAGGTGAGCAGCCATTGGAACAGGCTATCAGGAGAGAAGCTGTTATTTTTTTCAGCACTTCAGATAAGTAAATCAGGTCTGGAGGCTTTTATAAAAGATGTTGTCCAGTTCCATGAGCAGTTACTGAGCTTGATGAGAGTTTATGTGCACAGCAAGGCAGACTGTATCTTATTTTCCTTCCTTGCAGTTGTTACTGGGCAACATAGCTACACCTTGTGTTTCAGGGATCAAGTCAGATACTCACAGCCACCTTCTTTGGCCTTGAAGAACATAGAAGGGTATGGGAGATGCAAATGCAAAGGTCTACTGTTTTGTGCAATGACTGTGCTCTTACAACAGGTAGATTTTCGCCACCATTTTAAGAGATTATTAGGGAATATGACAATGGACTTGCCATAGCTAGTATAGCTGTGTGAATAAATAAAGCCAGATAGTATATCCCCATACAGATTTTGGTTCCTGTAAATGATCCATTAATGACTATGTTAATGATGTAGTGTAGAAGCAGCTTACAGTGACATATACATAGAAATTACAATGGCTGAATGTTGAAATATTCCTCCCCACAATGTTTTTTGGAAAAGTTAAGGTTCCATCAATTAGATGAAATTTATCTTGGGTTTTACTCTTTGCTAAGGAGAATGACTATGGTGACTCTCTGAGGAACCTCAGAGGACCATGATGACCCAGGTGACTCTAAGTTCTTTCATGCTCTGTTAGAAGAAAATAAACTGAACAAACTGCTTTCTGTGCCCAGTCATAGTTAGTCAATCAACACATACACAGGTTGTTAATACATAGATAGAAATTGGGGATTACAGATCTCACAGGCTTAAGCTAATAGCCTGGGGAAGAACAGAGGTTCCCCCTATCTTGTGTATTAATTTGTACCTGCATGTTTTGAAGCCAGTGGAAATAGCATATTAGCCATTCTCAAAACCTATTTGATACAAGTAGACCAAAAGCTTCTCCCAGTATTTCACTATGTCACTGCCATCATGTTTATCCATTTTTAATCCATTTTTCAGTGCCTTTTAAGAAGTCCTGCCTTGGTCATGTTTGGAGTGTGGGCTGGCTAATGTTGCACCTAGGCAGAGAAAGAAGCAGAATTACAGCATTCAGAAATACAAAGAACCCATGAAATCATCCATTCATCCATCTGCCTATGTATAGATAAGATTGTGTTTGCTTCTGAAAGGCTGCTGGATGGATTTTTCAACCACTTCTAACTCTACTGTTTTAAAACCACATTGCTATGAAGAGTTTACAGACATTTCCAGATACTCAGTCTTGACAGCCTTCTCTAGAAGAAAAGAAATGGTGTCTTCTATCCACTGAGCGTGTTCAGTGCTCAGTGGCTGGGGAAAAGTGTGATCTGCTGCATTTTTAGCCTGAGCACCCCAGGAGAAGCCTTCTGAGAGCCCTCAGGGGAATCATGAAGGTATGTCAGAGAATGATGAACATGCTCCATTTTCTGTGCTCTTTAGTGGGCTGAAGATTCCTGGTTTCATCTCAGTTCACATCATTTGAGTGGCGATTTAGGAAAGGTTGAAAACTGCGGGATTTTCATACTGCAGGTTTTCTTTAACACAGCACATTTCCTTGAAGTTCTGTTCTACTCTGTGTGGATGGACAGTGGAGGAGGAAGTTTTGTTTAGATTTAGACTTATTCCAGCCATTAAATTAGTAGAATAAATAAAGATAGATTTAGAAAGATTACAGAGATTTTAATTTGGTACAGGCATCATAAATGGTCTGTTTGCTTTTTGATCCTGGAACTTGTGCAATCTCTTTATAAATAAAAATGCTCCATAGCAGCTGCAGAGAACAATGAGGAGACAAAGGCAAAGCCAAAAGCCATAGAAAAAACATAGCCTCGGACAGGTATTAAAGAGCAATAGGCCACGCCAACGCACTGTTGGTTTTGATGGATGTAGATGGAAAGTTGCAGATGGTACAGAAAGGGAGGTAGCCATGAGAAGTGTTGGGAGGCATTCTGTCATTGTTTTGTGTATTGTTACCATAGTAAAACTGAATTTAATGATGCCACATAGCTGGTAACAAGATCGTCCTCTTGAAAATGAGTTAGAAAGCACTTCCTCGTGCACGACAGAGGTAAAGACAGAGTGAAATAAGCAAAAGCGCTAAGTATGTGTGTAATTTCCATGGCCCTCTCTGAGACTGAGAAATGCACCGGTCTGGGTGAGTTAAAGCTTCATGAGTTTGATGTAATTACAGCCATGCAATATCAAATCAATTATAACCATGATCGTGAAAGTGGTATTTTCCTGGTGTTTCATTTATTATCCTTCGAACATATTGGAAAGAAATGCTGACTCAGCACTGGGGTTAGAACAGGTTTTGCTTTTGTTTTCAGTCTAATTAACATTCTCTTCCTTTTAATGTTATCTTTTTCAAGACTCAAGAAGAAAGCAGCATGAATTAATTGCCTGGGCTTCTTCATGCCCTCTCTGAAATTTCAGTAAGCTCTCCTACCATACCTGGGGATGCTGCTGGTGGTGGATGTTTTTCCTCAAAAACCAAAACCTTTTCTGGCTTGATTTAAAGGAGTGAGTACAATTTATTAAAAAATACTGTCAGGTAGGAACAAAGGATTAGAAACCAACTGAAGGCCAATACCTTGAGAACTTCAGTCCTCTGGAGTAATTATGACACCTTCATTCGTGTGTTTGGGAGTCATTGGACAAATATGACCTGTGAATTACAGTTAGACCCAGCAATCTTGACAAAGGCAGACTGTGGAGGAACTGGATTAAAAATTTTAACTCTGGTGGGTGCTTGGAAAATACTTAGAGGGTGTGAAGTATTGCAGGTCCAATACTTCCCTTCCCTTTTTGCCCTTCTTTTGTACTTGAAAGCTGTCTGCCAAACTAATGCACTTTCCTTTCTTCATGGATATCCTAGAACAGTCCCAAGCCAATGATCTGGCAGCGTGTAAGGTCTGAAGTTTATTTAGGCAGTTAGAGTTCTCTGCAGGCTCCAGTGAACATCTAGATCCTCTCCAAAAGAGCAGGTAGCCATTAGAACGTTTCCAGTCCCACCAGTGTTATTCTTTGATTAATGCTTGTAATCCAGAAAAATGATAAATTACAATTGTGTGTAGAGTTCATTAACTTAAAAGCACAAGTTGGATGAATCAGTGCTGTACAGACTATCTCTTTCCAAATAATCTAAATAATTTACAAGCTCAGATTCCCTTCATTGTAGCATTTCTTTACAAATATTTTCTCCTGCATATGATTAACTGCATCCATGAAAAGCAGTTTAGCTGACCCAACCAGTCCAGGGGAATTCAGCATGGCAATGAATTGGTTGTGGAGCCATCATTCCATAGGTTCAAGGAGGAGGCTACTAATTAGGAGTCGTTGCTCTGCGCTTTGCATGAAATAGTATTATGGGACTTTGTCAGCCTTCCCAGCTTGCAGTTTTCCAAATAAAAAAAATCAGAGTCTGATTGATGAATGGGTGCTGTTACTCCTTGATCCTATAAAGACTTTAGCTCCCATTTCACTCAGACATTCAGGTATTTTTTTATACCAGCATTGTTTCCTTGCTTTACAGCCAAGAGAATATACAGAAGTGATGATTTCTCTTTATAGTATAGTGTTTTTTCCTTTCTTATTTCTGTACTAGCTGCTCTGTGGTATGGTCGCAGTTTCTTGGTATAGATGGCTCTGTTACTGGTTTGGAATATGTGCAATTCTCTTTGCATGCTTTGGCATAAAACAAGGATGGGTTTACCTGAAGAAAGGAAAAGAGAATATCATCATGTGGCCACCTGAAGTGTGAGAACTGCTGGGGCCACAAGGTGTCTGTAGGATACAGAAACAGCTTCAATACCCACCAATGATCATGGTATTCTACTCTCAAAACTGTGAGTTTGGGTCTATGATTGAGCATCTGTTACCAATATGAATAGTTTTGAAGTATCTAACAATGGAAGGGGTATAATATCATGCTTGCAATTTAGAGCAAATTCCTTTAATTACATGAGCCAAGGGGATATCATCACCACAAATGCAGAGTACAAAATTGCGAATAGGAAGAAAGTGCTGGTGTTTATTATTTACCAATAAAATTCCCCAAATATTAGTCAGAGTTCTCAGTGGAACTAATTTTCATTATCTTCTGGGTCATATGCTTGGAGCATATGACTTGTTGGGCTTCTTCAAATTTCTGCAAAAAAGATATTATTATTTTCCTTCAGTCTAGTTTTTGACACCTGTAACAAAGCACTTGAAGCAAGTGTCTACACTGTGCTGGTCTCCTGACCCTTTAACAGTCACCTGGCTTTTTGAAATGCCTGACTTTTAGAAAGACTCAGCTATTAAAATATTTCCAGAACCAATCAAAACATCTGACCACAGATTTATAGGAAAGGAAGTAATTACTTTACCTTTTTTTAGAAATGCATAGTTGGAATGCACATGCCTGGGGGTGTGAGCAGAAATCTCCCACCTGTTGGAGTCCTAAGTCAGTACGTAATGGACCCATGTCCCTAAAATTATTCTGACACTGTCCTACTTACCTTCACATTGAGTTTGTTTTGCATCTGTAAATGCAGGTGACATAATCTGGTGGACAAATACATTAATGATTCAGGTAGCTAGAAAGCAAGTAATTTGAACTTTTCTACCTGCTTCAATCCAAAACCCACAACATAGTTAAGGAAAAAAAGCTTGTAAGTAAAGAGCAAAGCAATAAGTAATGGTTTGTTTACAGATTAAAAAAATAATACATCAAACCAACAGCATGCAGCACTTCTTAATATTTTACGAGCAAAGATACTTCAAGGAGTCACAGAAGGGTTGAGGTTGGAAAGGAACTCCTTCTAGTCCAGCCGCCCTGGCTGAAAGCAGGATTGGCTAGAGCTGGCTGCCCAGGACAATGTCCAGGTGGGATTAGAGTATTTCCTGAGATGGAGAATTCAGAGCCTCTCAGGGCAACTTGTTAGAGTGTTTGATCATCCTTACAGTAAAAATGTTTTTACTTAGTCTTACAGGTATTTTAGTTTGAACCCCAAATTGGCACCAGCAATAATAAGCACGTGCCTTCTTTTTATGTTCAGCTATGGAAGACAAGATGGAGACAAATAAGCAGCACATTCCACTACTTCTTGTCCTTTGGCCCAAACATCAAGCAGCTGCCCTCTTCATTTTCTTATTCAACTGTCATTGCTACTAATATTAGAGACAAACTTTTAGCAGACATTTCAGAAGACATCTTCTGATGCAGAATGTGAGATGAGAAATACTGGAGTTCTCAGGTTTCTGAAATTAAGAGATACTGAGGCTATGTATAGTTTATATATATATATCTAACTATATATCTAACTATATGTATATAAACTATGTGTAGTTTAAAAAAAATAAGAGGGATAAATACAAAAAGATATATGGGCTAGCAGGCTTTCAGCAGTGCTGTGACCATTTCAACAGCTTTATTTATTACCAGCATTTTGGAAGGAAGGACAAAAGCGTGAGCCAGAGAATGATTAAAGAGTGAGCTGGGGAAGTTTAGTCTCCTTCAGAATAAATCTGAGTAATGAACAGCATTTATTATATCTGTTTAAAGGCAAAGTAATGAGGACAAAGGGTAAAGCTACACTAACGATTAACTATGAATTCTGGTTTGTATTTGTGACTGTGCCATCTTGGCTGCACTCACATACAATTTCTATAGTTGCTTGCCAGAACAAAAAAAAACATGATTTCTGCTCAAGGAGGAGGTAGATCTACACTTCAGCCATTGTCCACAGCTGTAGACAATAATATGCAGTGGGCTTGAAAAACTACAGGTAGTTCTTCCCAAGGAAAGCTTACTCCAAGCTGAATTTCTTACTCTGGTATCTTCTTATGTTCTGCCAGCATAAACTGTCTCAAATGCTGACCTGAACTGCCCCTTCTGCCTACCTGTGAGTTTAGCTGGCTGTTTGTAAATCCCTGTTGTGCCTTTAACCCTTATTTTCCTTCCTGCAGGCTGCAAGACCAGACTGGGCTTAGCAGATCCAGACTGGTTCCTTGTTTTCAGCATAACCAGGAGCTTTCATTGTGCTTCCTGAGAAACACAGAGTTGCTTGCTTACGTGAAGAAACACAGCACATCCCTTGCTCTAGTCACAGTAGCCCCAGCTAGCCTCCAGCCCTCACCATTTAGAAGGAGCATTCAGACTGGGCAGAGTGCAGCCTGGAGTCTCAAACAACTCTCTGCTGAAAGTCAGGGGACACAAACTAGAGCTGTGCTGATGTTCAAGGTATGTCCTAGCTATGCAGGGTACAATAAGCATTTGTCAGTACTCCACAACCTCAACCCACTTTGATTTCCCCACTAACTCATTTTAACCAAGGGGAAACCCCTCATATTACCATACCATTTTACACAGAGAAAACTGTGCCACTGCTTGTATCTTGCCCTGTGTTATTGTGGCAATAATACAAGCTCCCACATAAATATTTTTGACATGAGGTCTCAAAGATACCTGAGATTAATGATCAGTGTTTTATGTTTTCCCAGTCAGAGTGGCATCTTGCTCAGGGGCTTGCAAAGCTACTTACATCAAATTCATTTTGGACAAATGCTCTCATTCACCACAGAAGTTAGTAGTTACAAAGATGACACTGAGATGCAAACTCTCCCCCAGAGAAGCCATAGCACATCAGGGGACATGCAAAAAATAACAGAAGGTTTCTATAATGTGCTGCCTACCTGACATATTTTATTATTAAATCACTTGCATATGATGCCAGCCATTTTGTCAGATGAAGAGGAGCATCACGTGTGTCTTTACAGTGCTGCACATGCTTCAGTGTTGGTTAAGCTCATGCACAGAAGGCTTCAGTTCACAACATCTTAACATCTGGGTGCAATTACTGAGTTGTGTCAGCTTTCATCAGATAATGGAGCTAACTCAGAACAGCCTGAAGGTTGTGTTTTGTTAGAGAGCAGTCAGAACAACAGAACTTACATCTGCACTTCTTCAGAGCTCAAGTCAAGTGCCTACTTGGTGCTTAATATGATGCTGATTTGGTAATTACATTACATTTAGAGGTATCTGGAACTCAGTTTTTCATTTGAGACTCTCTCAAACTGTTTGCCAGAGAATAATGTCATACGTGATCTTGTCAACATGATTTATTATATATACTTCAGCAGAAGTAAGTATTTCCCTGTTTGAATTACTGAATTTGTTTTCCCAGTTCTAACTTTCATCCACTTTTCAGACTATGACCAAATGTTTTCTTTTCTCTCCCTGTTTTTCTTTGACTTTCACTATTATCTAACTAAATCTACAGCCTGTTTATGTTGGTCAGCAGCTTCAGAACCTATACGTGGCTCCCACCCTCTACGTGCTGGGACGAATCACTCTTGTTTTCAAGATGACAGCTCTTGCTAGTGTTCCAGAATACCAACCAAATCGTAAAGTTTTACTTAACCAGTTGAATTTAGTAGTCATTTTGCAGTGAGTGCAACCCAGACAAAATACAGTATTTATTTCTTTATCTATTTGCATTAATTCCTGAGCTTGGGCTGGATGTTTTTTGATGTTCCTTTCAGAATTTCAAGTGGGAATCGAGTACAAAGTTAGAAACTGGATTACATTTACATCATTTCCCTGAACACAGTAGCATTGCTCGTCTAAGAACTACAGCCACAAACCCCCCCTGACCAAAGAAAGAAATTGCTTCTGTTTTCCTCTACAATTGCATATACCTCACAGTGCCCATGGGACCATGTTCTGAATCTTGGTAGGATGGCATGGAGTATGTGACCTGCTTCCCTTGCTTTTTTTGGTCAGTATTTTATACCACTGCTGGGTCAGGCATCTAAGGACCAAAACCCCTTGTGGGTTCTGTCTTCAGAGCATCTCTGTAATACAGAAACATGAAGGTACACTGGGGGAGGGAGGAGAAAGGCTGGTTGATCTACACTGTATTGTCAGATGCATCAGTTTGACACATGTGACTTCTATAAGAAGTCAGGAATATGCCACCAACTCTTAACAAAACTGTTGCATAACAAATAGCTTTGGAAATGTTGCAGAGTCAGGACAGTTTTGTAATATGCATTACAATCTCTGCACAGGAACATGTCCTTAAGTTGTATTCAATTAATTTCTTAATCAAAAAAGATAACAGAGGAAGGAATAAAAAAAAATCATAAGCACTTCTTTGTATATCATATATGGTCTATTCCTGCCTCATCTAATGGGGTGGGGGGGGGAAAGACAATGGCTGGAAATCACTCTCAAAGTCAGAGAGGCTTAAGTAAGAAAAAAGGACTAATTTTTAACAGCAAAGTGGTGAAACCCTGGAACAGCCAACCTGAACAAAGAATTAGTTTTTTTCATTCTTGATGCCACATTCTCACTAGGTTTCTTACTGGACCATAGGTTGAACTTACTTATCTATGGCCTTTCACCAAATAAGAGCTGCTGAACACAATAGAATAGGATATACAGACTGTCTCTCCTTATCTTGAGGATTAGGAATTTACAGCCTGTCATTATAAGAGCAGAATATTCTGAGTTGTGTCTATTCTACATCACTGTTTCTCACTGGATTTTTTAAACAGCAGTTCTGTAACAGGTTCATGAAAAAGGCAAAGAGCATCCTTAAAATATATCTCATCCTATCTAAGACCCCCTTTTTTTTTTCAGGAAGTTATGGACAGGCTGCTTTCTTAAAGGGTATTGTCTGCCTGCAGCAACTGATGGTCGCCTGTGTGAGATCCTCATCCCCCATTGCCCACTCACACTTTTCTTCCGTTTACTGTAGGTAGGAGAAACCATGTTCTGGAGAAGAAAGAACATCCACAGGGTCAGTCTGTTGAAATTTTCTGTCTACTCCTGGTGCTGTCAAGCCCTGCAGAAAAGCAGAAGCAGTTACTCAGCTATTAACTCTTTTAATTCCAGTTTCTGCTGAGGGTTATCTCAGAATAAGTTTCCTGGCCAATCCCATTTTCAGAAGTAACTATCACAAGTTCCACAGAGTGAACATACAGTCCCCTTGAACCTCAGTTGTATTTGAGGTAAGGACAATATTGATCTAGGGACTGTATTAAAGAGCAATGAAATAATTGCATAAGGGTTCTGCTTTCCAAGGTACTGACTTAGGGAGGTAAATGCTTCCAAGGTCTGTGTGCAGCCAGGAGCCTGGATCGGAAAGAAGGCTTCTATGTCAAACTGTAAGTCTAAGTTGATGATCCTTTGCAGAATTCACATCATGACTGAAAGAGGCTGCTGTACTAAACCTCTATCTGTGGCAAACCTCTATCTGAAACAGGGTGCTCACCTGCTGCACTTCCATGAAGCTGCACCTCCATGAGTTCCATGAAGCTGAAATACAACTTCTTTTGGATTCCTGAAGGCATACAGCATTTTCAAGGGAGATTCAGGTCCTGTGAGGAAATTAACATCCATGGCCTGCTCATTGTACCACTCTTAACATCTGTCACACTAGTATGTATGTAGAGATATAGAGATGCTTGTGATGCTTTTCTGCTGTTTAGATCAGCAGTTTAGCATTAGATCAGGCATTTAGAAAAGGTGTAAAAGCCACCTGCTCTGGAGAAAAGCCTGTCTGGAAATAAATATTCTTGAAATGTTTCTTTCAGACACAGTAACCAGGCATTCCCAGTGGTAGTTACGTGTGTTCCACCAGTGAGCTGCATTTTCCTCCTGTTCATTTCAACAAAAATGTCTTTATTGCTTCTTTGCTCTCCATTCCTGCTCCATGGCCTTGCTGTGACCACAGACTGCCTTGACAGAAATCACTAGCTGGAATGATGTTCTTTGCCAAGGTTGTCTTTATTTAGACAAGGTTTCTGCTTTGTGAAATCTCTTGCAGGAGTGGAGGGATCATAAAGTAACCATGCTGCACCTCAAATTGGTGAATGGTGTGCTCAGGGGAAAGCACCTTTGACATTCCTATGCTTGTTAGTTCCTTCTCTCAGTTTTGTTTTTGCAGGGAAAACAGAAATTTCTGAATAATTCAGCAGTGTAACAGACAATAAGATTTTTTCTTTCTTTGAACATAAGCCTGGATTGTGGACAATTCTCCTTCCTGTCAAGAGGGGTAGACAGGATGGTAGCCTGAGCTCAGACACCCCCAGACACTCCTTTCTGGAGGAGTGCCAATGAACAGGGGCTTGATTTTCATTCCTTTCTCTGTATACCTGAACAAGGCAGACGACTGCAATACAAATGATGCGTGTGTTGGGCACACATATTGTAACTGTTAAGTGTTCCAGGAGAGCCTAGAGTCTTAACACAGATTGGCCTCTTTGAGGCACTGTACCTGCAGGCAGGGTTCCTACTGAAGAGTCTGCAGTCAAAGGTTACAGGAAAGGTTACAAGCTGAGATTAAAAGAGCAACAGAACAGATTTTTCCAGGCCATGACAAATCCAGGAATGGAGTTTTGGTTCCTGTTAAATGAAGCACTTTTCCTAAACTTACATCAAATGGACATAATAGATTGACCTGTGTTTAATTCTAGACATATTGCTAATATTTTCTGGTTAGGTGTCAAGACTAAGTCAAAGAGCTGAGATATAAAACAAAGTGAGTATAACAGAGCACTTGTTTTAACTGGAAACACAGGTCAGAGTTGGGAGCCTGATCATGGGTGCATGCTGTGAATTCTGATGAACTTGTGCAGAACAGCCGGAGGAGGATCTGAGCACAGTTATCGATTTCATGTCACCACACAGAGGATTTGGGATGAATATTTCATCAGTTCTGAAAGGTCTTGAGAAATATGCATGATAGAAAGAAAGAGATTAACATCTATTTAGTACAGAGTAGATTTCTTGGGTCTTTCAGCTAGATAAATTCAGGCATCATTCCTCATTTCTCTTCTGTGAAACAGCTCACTATGGCTTACTTAGACTTTTCCTTTCAGGGAGGTGTGAAATGGAGGCTCAGACAAAACAGATGATGTTTGGTTAGGTAAGGATTTGAATCAGGCACTAATAATGGCACCTATTTAAGATTTTGATGTGCTGGGGAGAGGTATTTTGTTCTGGACGAGTAATTGGTAACTGGAGCAGAATCTGAATAAGGGGACAGAACTGCTGTGTTACTGTGTCAGCCTCCCTGGTAGGCCTTTTGCATGTACTGCACCTTGCCCAGTGGTGGAATCCATAAATGCCCCTTGTAGAAACAGCCTTCCTGAGCTGCTCATGTGATTCATGGGACAGAGATTCACA